TCGAAAATAACCTTCATGGACTCAAAACTATTTTTAACTTCATTAGACTAAAATGGTACATAACATCATGCCTTTTATCCCCGAAGGGGTAGGCAGAGGTGCACATTCCGGCACTTAATGCCACTGTACAATGTAACGCCCACTATTCACTATTTATGTTATGAGTCCCATGTAATAGGGGGTAAGCCTATTGCCATATACCGGGCACATTTCTAGACCCCAGTGCTACTACTGAAATTTTGAAAAACATAGTAATACTTTGCCCGACCCGGGAATCGAACTCGAGACCCCTTGCCCGGCAGTCGCATTTGCGACCACTCGGCCAACGAGGCAGTCACTAAAATGGTGTGACAATAATAATATGACCAAATGTACTGTTACACTATACGTGCTGATTTCAAGCACAGAAGCATGTTTCAATGGAGCAGTTGTCATTTAATAGCATGTGTGTCGTAATATTGCTCAAAATAAGCATGTTCATGCATGTATACGAATCGATAGGAGTTCGATTTTTTCTCATTTGTGAGCATGCTCAATAGAATACTTTTCAGCATTGTTATTTTTTAACTTAACTTTTTAACCTAAGGAAAAATACAATATTTTATCAACCCTTTCGTTGTTACCCTACCCTGTAATATCATGATAACTTACATTTCTTGACCCAATTAAAGAGTTGCTAGGAACAGAAAGGAGTGACACTAGCGAACAGCATTTCTAAGTTAGTCAGGTTGTTACACCACCAGCGAGAGAACGAAACACTCTCATTTGAACTCACTCTTATTCTCAAAGAGTTAAAGTTCAAGGTCGTCATGGCACAGGTCAATGTATACTGGTTTTTGTGTATGGAATATACTTCTGTAAGCTTGTTGGGTAGTGCTAAAGTTTGTTAGGGGTTCGGTTATGATACAAGGAGTCTCTGTTATTGATTTTGAATGTGTAATGATTACTGAGAAGACTGCTGTTATATGAGTGAAAGTTCGACGTGGATTTGATGTGCATTTTTTATGATAAATTGGTATTACTGTGGGGCTTTTTGCATTATGTATATCTTCTTTTTATGATGCCATTTCATTCCTGAAGGTTGGCCGTCAACTTTTTGAATTGGTCCTTGTCATTGGCTAGACGGAAAAGATGTTCCACAAAGCTGATACCAGTCCACTCCCGAATATTGTGCAGCCACGACTTTTTCCTTCGCCCAGCGCTTCTAACATGAAGCAAAATGTTTATAAAATAATACAAAAAATCATTTTAGTTACGTCTTGCATTTATATTAAAGATGTAGTTTTGATAATCACTATTTTTGGAAGTTCTTTCTGCGTATTAAAATAATGAAAGATTTTTCAGCTCTAACCTGAATTTTACTAAAAATATAATTATAATCCAATCTAATTTCGTGATTGGGATTGTCATAAGTTTTTAAAATAACTTAACAAATCTCCTGACTAATTTAAAAATTTTCCTCATACTCTAAAGTCTAGATTTTTATTTTTATCAAGACCTAAATCACGAGAGACTTTAATACTAAAATCCCACGAACAGAAGGTGCTAAAATTAATTATAGAAGAACTTACTAATTGGTTCCGACTTAAGCTCTTTAGAACATTCAGTTGGTTGCAAACCAATTTGGCGTTTTCCTCGTTATGGTATCAGGAAAATTGTTAATTATTGGCTACAGTGGTTTCTTTGTCTTCCATGTTTTTGATGTTGATTACGTACTCCTTTGAGATAGTACGTTTTTAGTAAATTTGATTTAATGGAAGAGAAAATTTTTGTTCAATTTTGTTATTTTTATGCTTGATCTTTTGCCAATGGGTTATTGTAGTTTATTAAGATTCTAAATTGGTATTATTTTTCACGTATTTTGTACTATTTTTGCCTGAAAAGAACAGGCAGTAAATAAAAGCAATATTTAATGACTAACTTATGCAATGTCGTAGATAAAGTGTCTATCATCAAAGACACTGACCATTCACCTGGATCTATTAGTTTCAGATCTGTAAAACATGAGGTGTTTGTCGAAGAACATTATACTATTTTTTTTGTAATTATGTCCTGTCTCGTTGGCCGAGTAGTCGCAAGTGTTACTGCCGGGAAAGTGGTCTCGGGTTCGATTCCCGGGTCTGGCAAAGTATTACTGGGTTTTAGTCGGCTGTAGCATGAAGTCTGGAATTGTGCCCGGTATATAGCAATAGGCTCACTCTTTATTATTTGGGACTTAAAACATAAATAGTGAAAAGTCGGATTTAATAAGTGCAGTAGTGTACACCTCTACCTACCTTTCCAGGGATAAAAGGCGTGATGTTATATTACGTGTTCTTAATTACGTTTATTGATCTATACAAGACCCATGCAAATCAAGGTTTCGATATGTTCTCTAATCCTTCGATAAGTCTTCAATACCTCTCAATACATTATTTCCTCCTTGTCTCTTATTTATTTACAAAATCGATAAATAATAACAGAGCACTTTCCTCATAATTTATTATTGTACAGATTTTGTGGCGACCCGTAATTGTTTTCCGAATAACTTTGAAGGACGCGACGTTACGATAAAAATAGGAAGGCTATGTTATTCATTGTGTCTATGATTGATTGATTGTCATACAATACGAATATACAAGATTATACAATATTAATTGTTGTTAAAATAATAATTATGTTGATATTATTATAACAATTGTTAGTTACTACATGATTTCTTTAGTAATGCTTTTAGAGATAAAGGCTAAGAATTTGGTTTTATAATTATTATGTATTATATATTATTGGCTAAGTAGATTATTTTGGGTATTTCAGCCAATTTACTGTGAAAACAAACTCAAAAACTATAAATTATAATGTATTTAACAGGACACTCAACCTTCTCAAAGCATTTAAAATTAGCAAGACTTAAATAAAACGCGACCTGTATAGCAAATACAACGTGAAACTTGACAACTAAAAGTCCACGTCTTGTAAAAAACGTCGACAGATTTAATCTGGGCCGTGCAAGAGAACGCACTCAAGGCGTCGCTTTCAAGGTATTAGCAGGGATTATTCGCAGAAGAGGCACTATCAGCTGATTCCGTCTTCAGATTTGGAGAAAATCACTATGACAGGCCGCTTATGTCGCGGAACTGAAGATGCGGATGTGGATATACAGGTGACGAGAAGGAAAAACAAGAGTTCAAAAATGTAAAATTCGCATTTCTATTTTGACATTTTCTTTATAATCGTGAGTAAAAGCATAGTTATCAATTTATACGTAGCTCTGTGAAAGTAAGTAAAAAATCGAATTCAAATATTATTCAAGTTCGTTCTATAATTATGGATTATGTAGCCGTTTTTCATTGGTTTCATGATAACACACGTTCCATTACGTTTAAAGTTTCTAGTCTATTACCCTTTAAAATACAGCTCAACGACAAACGAAAACTCACTAAAATAAAGTCTCCTTTGGCACCTTTAGCAAGAGAAACACTAAAAAAACAATCGATGGCCCTAAAACACTAAATTCATCGACCCCTTTTCACGGCTCGATACCCCCACCGTCCGTATGTCACGTTTGTTATTGAAGCACTTGAGAATATTTCGCTATTACGTTTTTTGGGCAAAAACTGGGCGCCCAAGATTTTGTCCCAAGATTTCAAGTAAGAGGATTTTTTGTCCAATTTAGTAGTTTGTTAGGCTCTTGTATTTTGTTTTCCCTTGATGACGTAGTCCCTTAATTGGGGATACTTGATTATGTGGTCTGTCTGTAGCTTTATGATAAAAGTCAAGGTTAGGTCACATTGTTATGATGAATTTGTTCAGAATTTTTTATTAGTCCCTATTTTTACATGAAAATGGTCCGAGTCTTTATTTAAAGAAACCATCTCATCAGACTAGTTTTTGCTTGTATTTTTTTTTTGTAGAAGATCTTAAATTATTTGTAAATGGAGGTCAACTTATTGATTAATATTTTGAGATGTTTTACTTTACAGTCTTTTGATTGTAAGTATTTACTTAAGAGCTAACTGCCGTACTCAGAGACATCAGTGATTACTCAAACTATTTCTTAATAATGATTTTGTTCCAAAAACTATTGCTAAGGCAGTCCTTACCAATAGTTTACTCAGTGTTTACTTCGGTAAGATGCGGCGCGTCGCGTTTCGTGCGCGCTTCAATGAGTCATCAGACCACCACGGATGGTGCCCAATAGAGCTTTTTTTCAAGGGGGGAAAATCATCGAATGACTGCTCCCGCCTTGGTGAAGCGGGAGGAAGTGTCTGACTTTTACTAATTAAAAACCACCCCGTTCCTTCTCCTGCACGTCGAGCCCGGTACCCTGTTAGGTTCTCCGCGACTCGTAATCGGCATCGGCCCAGTTTGGCCCCATCTGTGGTAGTCTGATGGCTCTTTGAGCCCAATAGGGTTAATGCCGGTTTGCCGGGGCTCCGGCTCGAGGTGCAGGAGTAGGAACGAGGTGGTTTTTTGTCAGTAAGAGTCTGACTCTCCCTCTCACCTCACCCAGGCGATAGAAATCATTGGACGAATATCACGCCTCAACAAAACGCTGACAAAAAAAATATTACAAAGCAGTGTTTATCATCAAGGGTAAACAATATATAGCGGATAAAGATAAATTATGCGCATCTAAACTGCATAAAAAAATTATAACCCTCAGTTCTTACTATAGATAAATTCATAAACACCAGTTATGTTAAGTCAGAATTTACTCAACAGTAATATATTATATTTAAAAAAACATGCTGCCTTTCTTGGACCTCTCTTAGTTCTTGCGCTCCAGTCGTGAATTTTAATGATATCTTATTAAGACGTAAGTATAACCGTAGTCCGTATATTTTTTTTAAATTACCATGTTAATTATAATAAATAATTTATTTCACTTTATGACTCGCTTTCTCGCAAATGAAAATGTAACTGATGTTTCAAATTGTGACTTAGAAGTAATTTGATTAAAACAAAAATTAATATTTGTAAGTGACCTCCTCATTGAGGACTAAGGAGAAGGCCGTTGTTCAGCAGAGGACGTCTTCTGGCCGTTGATGCTGATGATATATAAGTGTCTCATTGGACTGTAAGGTAACAGAATGCTTATATATTTCGACGTGGACAACTAAGGCGTAGGTCTTTCTCCAGTAGTAGACGTTTTCTTGCTGATGATGATGGTGATGTCAATGTATACCAACTGATCAACTGACTTTTAATGACTTTTCAAAATTAGCTGCTATTGGTATTATTGAAATAATACTTTGACCTCATATGACATGAGTTCTATATTTAATCGTTTTAAAGTTGTATTGGGTTCAGTTTCAAATACTACTACATAACAGAGCAAGTTTATATATCGCAATATCAACTTAACACCATTTACCATTCATCTCTCACAAAAACAATCTACACAAAGCTAAACCAACCAAATGAAAAAACCGAAAAAGAAACAACGTTAACCAACTCTTCATTCTAAAAACAATAGTCACATCCCTAAACACTAGAAACCGATACTAGAGCACACAATCAACTCTAAAAAGTAAACAACAAAGGCCAACATAGGAAAGAACAAAGAAAAGAATGAAAAACATTAATGAAGCAATTTGTTTCATGTCCACACTATGCGGGACAGGATTAACGGTATCTAGTCTGAAAAGAACGAAGGGGGAAGGGGGATAGAAAGGGGCATTGTAGGGGATTACTGAGAAGGCAAGCTGCTAGTGGATATGTTAGTATTTTATTAGAGTTTTCTAGTGCTTATTGCTAGCAAAATTAACAACGTTTTGTGAATAAAAATGTGGAGTGATTTTTATGTAGTATTAGCAATCATTAACGCTAAAATCTTGAAGAGGACAAACTTAAAAGAGAAGGCAATGAACTAAGTTGTTAAATGAAAGTCGAAAATTAACGTTTTAATACAAGCTGGCAATATACAACAAAACTAAACACCCAGTAGTACTATTGATAATTTCAAAATAAAAATGTACTGATATGTTCTACAACTGGACTGGTAATATATGATGCTTCCAGGACTTTATGGTTTTCTCATAGTAAAATTCGGGTGATCAGCGGTAAAAAATGGATCATCGTATCACATAGTCAATATTCACTACGCGTTTCAACATACTTATACGTTTGATTGACTGTAAGGTTGGCGCGACGTCTGGGCAACCAGCTGTCGCGCAACTTGTAGCGGGTTCGATTCCTGCACGGAGCAACTCTTTATGTGATTTATAACTTGTTGTTTCGGGGCACCACCCGAAACAACATGTCACCACATGTTTAGGTGATATTGTATGTTTGTAAACGCACCCAAAAAACAGAAGAAAATCTTAATGTAGGAAATCGGTTTTATTAACAAAAAAAAATCTAGTAAAACACGTGTCCAATCATGTCACACAGCTTTACAAGACAAAACAACATCTTGAAACAAAAGAAAATCCAATCAGAAATCTAATAAGAAAATACACAACAGTGTTACTTTTAAATGAACCTTCTGTTCTATCCTATCTTTTAGCCTCGGGCTAACCAATGTGGTGGACGATGTTTCACTAGATCATAGTGTGCTAGAAATAGGTGACGCGTAAATTGAGCGTCCATTTTCACACAATAGCTTCAGCTACTGCGACCTAAATGAAATTTCTGGACCATACTTTTAAAAAGCAGTGACGAAAATAGGAGATTATGTCGCTTTAGGATGTGGATATTTTGTGGTTTAGGTGAATGAACTTTGTGTTATATGGGAAGAATTTTAGTCTATATTTCAATGCGCTTAACTGCTATATTGAATATGAAATAATCTGTTACTCACGATAGACGGAAATGGGTTAATAATGATACTTACACACGTTTGCAAATTTTAATCATAAATATCGTATGTTGCATTATGATAAGCCTGGACAAAGAACATATTCTAAGTACCTTATTTTAAGGTTGAAAGTCATCCAAAATGTCCGGCCTTTGGTAAGGAGAAAGGAAGTGTCGGACTCTTACTAACTAAAATTCACCCCGCTAATATCAATCCTGCTTCGAACCGGAATCCCGGCAACCTGTTAAGTCTTCCGCGGCTCCGTATCGGGCATCAGCCCTACTAGGCCCCATCTTACCTACCATGTGTTTCATTAGACAATAACTAAATAAACGCATCGCTCTCTATAAACTGACACAATGACATTCGAATAACAGTTTTCAAAGTAAAAAATTATAAGCTTACCTCTATTTATTCAGCTATCAATAGTAATCCAAAACAAATGCTGTACATCTATCACACAAAATAATAATAAATCCTCAATCATTCACTAGATCCGTAAATAAAGTCCTCTCGATACCAATGTGCAATTTGTACCAACGTTAATCGATTGGAGCCTGATCCATCATCTCAGTAAACAGTCCTTCAGATACAATCAATCATGTACCAAAACAATTATGGTAAGAAATTAAGTGATTAACCCAATTGTTAAAGGATGTTTTACGATTGCTTTCCTACTTAATATTGGGTAAAACGTTTATGGAGTATTTTAAAAATACAAAGAGGTCCAGTATCCCCCTCCCCTCCTTCCCAAATTTATAAATCCCCAGCTGAATGAGCTTACCAAAATTATACTTGTCTCCCTTCACTCAGCACCAAATCCTCAATAGGTTAGCAATGTAATTGTAACTTCTATGGTGTTGCTAGTGTCCATGGGAGGCGCCGGTTGCTAACCATCATTAGCAACCGGCTTCAAATGACGGTAAACAATCGCCTTCGCCACCACTCGCTAGCAAATACTTTGTTTAGCAAATACTAGTCTTACAGTAATGTAATCTTGGTATCCAGTATTTCTTACATTAACCGCTGATATATAGGGATGCACAAACATCAGTCGACAATTTCATATTATCTACATAATTATGTACGCCCAAGAGAACATTAAGCTCTGATTTGGCGCCAGCTCTATGCTTAATCATAATAACGAAGATACAGTAAGCAGAACTGGGTTGAACTTGGAGTAATTTAGACTTATGTTAGACCATTTGTTAAGTAATGTCTAGATTTGAATCTAAATTGTTGTTGGGTCTTGATTAAGAATGCTATGTTGGGTGTGGAATACAAAACCTCTTTTGTCCATTAAAAAAAATATTTTATCTTAAAGTACTGTTACACAATGCTAATTATTTTAAAAAAGAAAGTGCGGGAGAGCCATGCTTCGGTATGAATGGGCCGGCTCGACCGGAGTTATCACTCATACGTGGTATCCCACGGCCTCACAGAAAACCGACGTGAAACAACGCTTCCGTTGTGGTTTGTCGTGTGAGTGAGGTTACCGGAAGCCCAATCACCCTCCTCCCTAGTCTCTCGAATACTCCACAATCCCCAAATTCCCAGTTCCCAAAAGGCTGGTAACCCACTTGTAACGCCTCGGTGTTTTGGGTGTCTATGGGCGGCATCGATTGCTTACCATCAGGTGATCCGTCTGCTCGTTTACCGGCTTGCTATATAGTTAAAAAAAATATTTTAATTCAGCGATTGTTACTTTACGTTGACGCGCGGAGGTTTAAGACGCCCGCATTTCACGCACGTGGGTATGGGTTCTAAACTTAGCAACGGTACCAAGTACCAACGTGACTTTTTCCGCGTTATAACTATCCAAGATTATTTCGACACCACTGTGACGGTGAAGGAAAACATCGTGAGGTAACCTGGGCTTATAATTTCTTATTATAAGTTTGAAATCGCCTATCCGGATTGAGTAAGTGTGATGATTAATACTCAAACCTTCTCCGTGCCAGAAGACCAGTCAACAGTGGGATAGGATAGATAGGATGTTGATGTGATGTGTGCTTGTCACATGCTACTGCATGTGTCGGAATATTGCTCAAAATTAGCATGCTCATTTCAGCCATATTTGCTTAGCGACGGCGTTCGATTTTTAAACATTTTTCTTGCGTCAATTTAATCGCCTTTGGCATTATATTTTAGACTATGTGTTACAGTATCTTTAGTACTATGATCTACAAATTAGGAAGCTTTTTCTAAGACAAAAAGACTACAATACAGACTAAAAGGAATTTGTCATAATCTACAAGCTAAGCAGGTGTGTATGCGGTGACAGTTTAAAAGGTTTAGATTTATCAGAGTGTAACAAACATAACATCACGCCTTTTATCCCGAAGGGGTAGGCAAAGGTGCACATTATGCCACTGTAGAGGTACAATGTAACACCCACTTTTCACTATTTATGTTACGAGACCCATGTAATAGGGGGTGAGCCTATTGCCATATACCGGACACAATTCCAGACTCCGGGCTACTACTGAGAATTTTTTAAAAACCCAGTAATACTTTGCCCGACCCGGGAATCGAACCCGAGAACCCTTTCTCGGCAGTCGCACTTGCGACCACTCGGCCAACGAGGCAGTCATATATCTTTTATCTGAGTGTCTTCTTTATCATCTCGGTCTCTGTCATATGTAGTACACATGTGATAGTAACTGAGCAGCAGTGCTCTAGAGTCTACAAAATAATGTATGTACGTACACACGGCTACACATCGAGCTTTACATAACCAGTATAAACTGAACGTTAAATGTGCGGAAAGATGATGCGACGCGACACCAGGATAAACTGGTTTTGTACAGGTTGATGTGTGGCCGTGTGTACCACCCACAGATAGACTAGGGGTGCTAACAAATGAATACTACTACTACAATACAGTCAAAGCTATGATTATACCAATCCTAAACAAAAAAAAAACGCTACGTTCCATAAGACATAATAAACCATCACGCCTTTTATCCCCGAATCGCGAAGGTGTAGACAGAGGTGCACAATACGGCACTTAGTGCCACTGTACAGTGTAACACCCACTTTTCACTATTTAGGTTATGAGCCCAATGAAATAGGGGGTGAGCCTATTACCATATACCGGGCACATTTCCAGGCTCTGTGCTACTACTGAGGTTTTTACAAACCCAGTAATACTTTGCCCGACCCGGGAATTAAACCCGTGACCCCTACCCAATGAGGCTAGTCCATAAGCTAGTGTTTAAATATATAACTGTTTCGTTTGAAATTCTA